GGTGATTTTCAACTTCCTAATGGGAAGAGCTTCCCATAGCCCTCCTTTCCCGTTATTTCAGAGACAGAGGAGAGGTGGCTGGCCGGCTGGCCACAGGCGGAGGCCCAGGTTGGGCACCCGTGGCAGGTTGGGGGCGGTGGATGGTGCTAGCGGGCTGCTGTCCACCCAGGGCCGCCTGTCTGCCACCTCAGGGGAGCACCAGTTCTACCACCAGGGAGTTAGCAGTACCTTGTAACGTCTAGTGAGCCCCACTTTTTAAGAAAGGTCCATCTCCCTGCCCCTCCTCAGGCCTGACTCAGAGAACGCCCAGGAGGCACTCCCCTGAACACCCGCCAGCGCCCGCACCTGCCACAGCCCAGCTTCCAAAGATGTGGTTGCGCCTGGCCAGGTGGCTCAGGTGGTTGGAGCATCATCCCGTACACCAGAAGGTTGCAGTTCAGTTCCCAGTTAGGGCACATACCTAGGTTGTGGGTTTGATCCCTAGTTGGGGCACATCCAGGCGTGCGGGAGGCAATCCAATGTTTCACATCGATTTATCTCTCTCTCTCTCAAATCAATAACAACATATCCTCCAGTGAGAGCTTAAAAAGAGATACAGTCACAAAGGGTTTAAACAAAATCAGGTTGCTAAATTAACTTCATGTCTCCTGTGGGCTTTATAAGTTCTTCTCATATTTTTATTACCCCTCACATCCAATTCTTTCCTTCATCTACCTGTTAAACAAAACTGGTTTTAACTGGCCCGGGTGGTGTGTTCAGTGGTTAGAGCATCACCCTGCCCACCGAAGGGTCACAAGTTTGATTCCCGGTCAAGGGCACGTACCTGGGTTGCAGGTTCCATCCCCAGCCCCTGTTGGGGCAGGTGCAGGAGGCAACCGACTGATATGTTTCTCTCGCATAGATGTTTCTCTCTCTCTCCCCCTCCCTCCCTCCCTCCCTTGCACTCTCTCTAAAAAGGATCAATTGAAAAAAATATCCTCGGGTGAGGATTAACAAAACAAAGCAAAAAAACTGGTTTCAGCCGAAGAAAAATCAAAATGTTGCCTTGCTGTTGACCTTTAATATTTATGCAGCGTTTTATTTATGTAGGCAAATGAGGAGGTGGTATTGATGTCAGGTCGCCTTGACAAGTGGTTGCTGCTCATAAATATCACGCAACAAAAACACTGATTTCCGGGAGGTGGGACTTGGAAGGAAAAGGTGGGATTATAAGCTGATTTTGTCAACAGGCCTTTATCTCGATCTCACCATGTGCCAAACACAGACACTCAGAGTTCAGGTGAACCCAGCGGTCATGAAGATTTGGCTGTCATAGGAAACGGCACATTACCAGCCAACTGGGCTGTGAGACCAGATGTAATGAGGGTGAGTCATGAAGAGGGGGTTGCCCAGGCATACACAGGGGCGTGGTGCAGCGTGGAGAGGCCAGGAAGCACCTCGAAACGCAACACCCAGTGACAGCAAGCCGAGGATGGCAAAGGGACTTACCTGGGACTTCCCCTCTCGCACATCACCCTAGCTCACGCCGTTTTTCTGTTTTCTTCGCTCTCACTTGGGAAAGAAGAAGATATGTTATGACAAGTGTCTCCTTGGGGCTTGTTGGAGTCAGATGCTGGGCAGGGAAGCTTTGCTGTAGAGAGGGCCTAAGTCTCTGTTCAGAGAGAGAGCTGGTGCAGGGGTGGGCGGGGTAGGCACTGCCATGCCTGGGGGCCGGGCCTGCCTTACGCAGGAAACTTCCCAGTGGGAAAGGAGGGAGCCACGCGATTGGAGCGGAAACCCGGGCTGCTAGTCTTGGTGACGGGGTAGGTGTTGGTGGGACCCAGGGAGAGCCCCGTGGGAGCTGGCGGGGCGTCCAGGGCGCATGGAGACCCAGCGCTGGTCTCCAGAAATTTGGGGAAGGAAGAGTGGTCAGGGTGTGGCCCTCTGTGCATCAGACACTGGGGAGCTGTTTTAAATGCACGTGTCACCTGTACCTGCCACAGGAGCCTCCATCTCAGTGCAGGCCCTCTGTGAAAAAAATACGCCTTCTCTCTCTCTCTCTGTCTCTCTCTCTCTCTCCATCTCCCTCTCCCTCTCCCTCGCCCTCGCCCTTGCCCTCTCCCTCTCCCTTTTCACTCCCCTCTTTCTCTCCCTCTCCCTCTCCCCTTTTCCCTCTCCCTCTTTCTCTCTCTCACATACTCACACACACACATGCACAGAGTATGCACACACAAAGTATGCACACAGGCACACACACTCTCCTTCCCACACACACTCCCTGGACTTAGAAGCCCACAGGGAATGTCTGCGGCCCTGGTGTTCCGTTATTCCAGATGAGCCTGGAAGCAGCATGGGCTCCGGTTGCCCAGGGACAGGAGAGCCAGGCGTGCGGTAAAGCCCCGGGGGCTGGCTGAGGTGCGGGCAGGAGCTGCTGACAGCAGCTGACTGAGTCCCCTGCTCAGCCTCACCCACCGCCAGAAGCAACGCTTGGATCCCACGCGGACGGTGCTCCCTGCTCCACACGAGTGCGGGCAGCCACTGTGACACCCACAGGTCAGCGTCCTCCCTCCTGAGCGCAGCTGTTACAAGTGCAGCGCGTCCTGTTTCGCCTTTTCTTTTCGCTTGGTTGGTAATTGTCCCAAAGCCACTGGACCAAGGATGAGCGTGACTGTGCGTGTTCGTGTGATACCCGGACGTGGTTGAGCTGTCAGCAGGCCTGGAAAACGCCTATGCAGTTCAGGTATGGTGACAGGCTGTGCGGTGCAGGTATGGTAACAGCCTGTGCGGTGCAGGTATGGTAACAGCCTGGGCGGTTAGGTATGGTAACAGCCTGTGCGGTGCAGCGATGGTAACAGCCTGTGCGGTGCAGGTAGGGTAACAGCCTGTGCGGTTAGGTATGGTGACAGCCTGTGCAGTGCAGGTATGGTAACAGCCTATGCGGTGCAGGTATGGTAACAGCCTGGGCGGTTAGGTATGGTAACAGCCTGTGCGGTGCAGCGATGGTAACAGCCTGTGCGGTGCAGGTAGGGTAACAGCCTGTGCGGTTAGGTATGGTGACAGCCTGTGCAGTGCAGGTATGGTAACAGCCTATGCGGTGCAGGTATGGTAACAGCCTGGGCGGTTAGGTATGGTAACAGCCTGTGCGGTGCAGCGATGGTAACAGCCTGTGCGGTGCAGGTAGGGTAACAGCCTGTGCGGTTAGGTATGGTGACAGCCTGTGCAGTGCAGGTATGGTAACAGCCTATGCGGTGCAGGTATGGTAACAGCCTGGGCGGTTAGGTATGGTAACAGCCTGTGCGGTGCAGCGATGGTAACAGCCTGTGCGGTGCAGGTAGGGTAACAGCCTGTGCGGTTAGGTATGGTGACAGCCTGTGCAGTGCAGGTATGGTAACAGCCTATGCGGTGCAGGTATGGTAACAGCCTGGGCGGTTAGGTATGGTAACAGCCTGTGCGGTGCAGCGATGGTAACAGCCTGTGCGGTGCAGGTATGGTTACAGCCTGTGCGGTGCAGGTATGGTAACAGCCTGTGCGGTTAGGTATGGTAACAGCCTGTGCGGTTCGGTATGGTAACAGGCTGTGCGGTTCGGGTATGGTAACAGGCTGTGCGGTTAGGTATGGTAACAGCCTGTGCGGTTCGGGTATGGTAACAGCCTGTGCGGTTAGGTATGGTAAAGGTCTATGCGGTTCGGGTATGGTAACAGGCTGTGCGGTTAGGTATGGTAAAGGTCTATGCGGTTCGGATATGGTAACAGCCGAGAAACTACAGAAACCAGACAGAGACTGTGTGCGCCTGCAGAGCCTGCCTGCCTTCTGTGCTGACGCGTCTCCTGCAGAGGACGCCTCCCTGCCCCAGCTCCGGTCCCAGCTCACACCCCTCCGGAAGGCCGGGGTGAGGGGTCTGGAGCCCCCTGCAGCCAGGGGCGCCCCGGGTCGTTGCACAGCCCGAGGTTTGCCCTCTTTCTGAAGGGGATCCTGGCATACCCCAGCACCCTGAGCTGGAAGAAGGGAGACGGGGTCCCGGCAGCATGGCTGAGAGCAGGCCCCTGTTCTCCAGAGCTGCGTCCCAGGAGCCCCCGGGCCCCGGCAGGCAAGGGCACGGCAGCCTCTGTTGCTGAAAGGACGACATAGTGGCTGTGCTAAGACTGGCTCTCGTGGTCCCCGTGGCCTGGGACTTATCTGGGATTGTCCCTCCCGCCCCTCACCCTAGCTCACACCATTTTCCCGTTTTCTTCACTCTGATTTGGGGGAAAGGAAGCTACTTTACGACAAGTGAAAAACAAACACTTTGAACTTCATGTAACTGGAGTGTTACACCTGCAGGACGCAGCGCTGCTGGAGTGCCAAACCTCAGTGCTGGGCCCTCCTTCCTCCCGCGGGCTCTCCCTCAGCCATGACCCCGAGAGATGCAGTGTGCGCAGGGAGACACAGTGTGCGTGGAGACATGCAGTGTGCGCAGGGAGCCACAGTGTGCGTGGAGACATGCAGTGTGCGCAGGGAGCCACAGTGTGCGTGGAGACATGCAGTGTGCGCAGGGAGCCACAGTGTGCGTGGAGACATGCAGTGTGCGCAGGGAGCCACAGTGTGCGTGGAGACATGCAGTGTGCGCAGGGAGCCACAGTGTGCGTGGAGACATGCAGTGTGCGCGGGGACACGCGGTGTGCGTGGAGACATGCGGTGCACGCGGGGAGACGCGGTGCGCACGGAGAGATGTGAGGCTGGGTGGCAAGGCCTGGCTCTGCAGCCCAGAAGGACTGGTCCTGTCTGGCAGCGGCCC